GAAGCAAGCCGTGTTGATAGCTTCTGCCCACATGAAGTGAGGAAGCTTTGACTGTATCAGCATGGTTCTGGCTGCTTCTACAAAGGTTCTGTTCCGTCGTTCTACAACACCGTTCTGCTGTGGTGTCTTAGCTGCAGAGAACTGTTGAGTAATTCCCTGAGCTTCATAGAATTCGGTCAGTTCCTTGTTCTTGAACTCCGTCCCGTTGTCAGTTCTGATGATCTTCACATTCTGCTGTAGATAGTTCTGTATGGTCCTGATGAACGTCATGATTAAGTTTGCAGTTTCGTCCTTGGAGCGCAAAAACTTGGTCCATGTGTAGCGTGAGTAGTCATCCACAATTACCAAAGTATATTTGCGTCCACTGATGCTATGCACGCGCATCGGACCACACAGATCCATATGTAGTAGCTCCAGGGGACGAGATGAGGAGGGAAATTGTTTTGACTTGTGTGATGCTCTCCTCATCTTTCCCAAATGACAAGCAGGACAGTGATGGTTGGGGGAGTTCTTCAGAACAGGCAGTCCTTTCACCAACTTCTTCGAGGAGAGGGAACTGATGGCTGGCAGATTCAAGTGTGAGAGACGTCTGTGCCATAGGCTGCTTTGTTCTTCTGATGCTTTGGACAGGAGACAGATGGATATGGGGGATCGTACCGATTTCAGATCAATGGTGTAGAGATTGGTTTTCCTCTGACACCTTAATAATGGTGTCCCACCCATATCCATCACACAACATTGCCTAGCATGGAATCTCACTTCCATTCCATTATCACAAAATTGACCAATGCTAAGCAAGTTGTGTTTCAGTCCCTGCACATACGACACATTTCTGATTGTGACGCTCTCACAGATGACATCTCCTATCCCGAGTATGGGCGATGAAGCATTGTTCCCAAACCTCACATTTCCTCCAAACCTTTCAGAATAGTTGCTCAGTAGTTCAATCTGTCCAGTCATGTGTGACGAGCAACCCGAATCAAGATGCCACACATGACTGACCTGCAAAACAGATTAGTTTCGCTTAGGTACCCATCGCCAGATGGGTCCTTCCTTATCAACAGTGAGCAATTGTTTTAACTTCTTTTTGATTTGGGATCCTAGGCTGGCTGATTTAGAAGAGTTTTTCAATTTTAATTGTTCTGCTTCAGCCTTAGGAACCCATTTTTGTTTTATTTGATTGATTTTTGGAGCGAGGGAACTTTCATTCGTCCTAAGTGATTGTTCAGATAAATGGTCTTTCAAGATTGGTTCACGTGATAGCCTTCTCAGATGTTTGACTGAGTGAATCTTGAGAGGATACCTTAAAAATGGCAATTTGACCTCACTCTTAACATTCACCCTATCAATCTTGGGCTTATTCACAACATTCTTAACAATCACAGGATCTTTTGCTTTGCAAGAAGAAACAGACTCAGAACAACAACATTTCATTGATTTCATGCAATTCAGAGAAACACATTTAGTACAGCGATTCGAGACAGAAATCTTAGAACTAGAAGACTTAGGAGCCACTCTCTTAGCATAACTAGTAGATGGCTCACTAATGCTAGAACTAGACTTATTCTTAACATAAAATATGGCGCTCGACCGCTGACACTTATTTCTTAATCTCGACTCTTCTTCTCTCTTCTTCCTTCTTATTTTGTCTTCAATCCACTCTCCTTTCTTCTCGACTCTCTTCTTCACATCTTTCCCTGTCGGAGAATGAGACTTGGGGTGAGAAGGAGAAGTCTTAAAACTATCGCTTGAATTTTCAGAAGTGTTTTCAGAAGTAGAAGGGGAAGAGGGTTGAGAAGCTGTGTTAGACTGAGAGGCGGTTTTCAAAGAAGATATTTCTTTTAAAAGTTCATCCTTTTCTTTTTCTAAAACCTGCTTTTCCTTTTCAAAAGAATCTTTTAACTCAGCAAACTTTCTCACCAGCGGTGGAATGTAAGCTGGTTTCTCAATTGGTTCAGATGTGGAAGCCTCCTCTCCGTCTTTCTCAGCTTCCTTTTCAGGAGGATAGGTCAAGATTTCTTCAGCAGGGGTCAAAGGGAGTGCTTTGGTTTTGTAGCTCTTGTTTAACTCTGTGTAGTCAAAAGGAACCTCTACACCAGCCTTTGTCTTTCTCTTTTCATCCTCAAGGGCATTCGTTTCTTCATTACCAGTGAAGGCCATGAGTTTGGTCAATCCTATTTTCATGTATCTAACATCATAGAGTTGTCTACAGTTGACCTTTTTCAGGTTCTGAGGATTGGTCAAACCCAAGCCTTCTTTGGCATTATAGAAACGAGTGTCCTTAGGCTGGTTAAGGAAAATGGTCTGATCTGTTTGGTCCCTTTTGGCTAACAGATCCTCAAGTTCTTTGATTTTAGTATACAGAGCACCCCTTCTTTCCATTAGCAAGTTATTTACACCAAAAAGCCTAATTCTTTCCTTTTCAGTTGTTCTAAGTTTCTCTGTCAACTCTTTCTCACTAGCACTAAGTCGCTTATTCTCAGTTGTGAGCTTAGTGATTGTTTTCTCTGAATTGATTATCTTAATGTTTGAGCATGTCTGTTTTTCACGCAGTTGGTTATATACCTCATACAACCGTTTGTAATTCACCTCAAGCTCCTTGAATTTATCATGCATATCTGTTCTAGAGCAGTTATGAATAGATGAATTAGAGGTACTTACTTCATTGTCAGCATTTCTGTTTTCAGCAGTCAGGGCAGTCGCTACATCAGCATTGGTTGCAGTAGGCAGGTTCTTCTTCTCCTCAGCTTTGTCTTTCTCTTTTTCATCAGCAGCAGGGGTTGACTTCATCTTTCCTTCCTTTTCAGCATCCTTCTCTTTCTCTTCTTCTTCAACAATTGCCATCAAGGCCAGATTCTCTTCCTCATCAGAATCATCCATCCAGTGGTCCTTTTCAGCCATGAGGGCACTCTTCTCACTATTTTCTTCCATTGCCAGCAACATCTTCTTCTTGTTCAGATTCATCTTCTGCTTGTAATATTCAGCATCCTTCCTCCTCTTTGGCATTCTGTAGTCCTTCATCAGATGTCCAGTCTTCCCACAATTGAAGCACTTTGGAGCATCCTCAGCAACAATATTCTCAGACGATTCAAAAGATCGCTCTTTTCTCTTGTTGTTGCTGGAAGAGGACTTGCGGAGTCTGTTGTTCGAGGGGTTCTTCTTCTTCTGCATTTGGTTGTTGAACCTGGAGGTAAGAAGGGCTATCTGCTTCTGAAAATCACGAAGCTCATCATCATCAGAATCATCCCAAAATCCAATGTCGCTGTCTGCGCTCTCACTCTCTTCTGCAATCATCTTATCCTTCTTGGAACCAGACTTTGAAGGCTTGTCAAGCATTAGAGCAAGGGTGTCAGCTAGCTTGTCCACAGCTCCCTTCCCTTTGTCAGCTGTCACAGTGGCTACCACAAAATCAGAGAAATCTTCAGCATATTGGTCAAGTGTGTTATACACTGCATGAATATCCATCTCATCCAGATCCTTTGTGTGCCTTATCTGTGAGCTTAGCTTCTTCCAGTCAGCTCCAAGAGAAGATAGAAATCTCACGTTCAGTTCCATGTTTGACTTGTGCACGCCAATCTTCCTCATCTCATTTATCAATTGCAGAAATCTCAGGTAGGTGTCTTCGAGTGATTCTCCAAGCTTGGCTTTGAATGAGTCATAAGCAGTGAATGTGCTAGCTTTCTTCGCTTTTACTCCAATCTCCGTGCCTTGCATGATCTTAAAGATCTCATCCCACATCTCTTTTGCAGTTGACATGCTGTCAATCTGCATGTAGATGTCGTTCGGGATGGCTTGCAACAGATAGGTCTTGGCAATGAGATCTGCTCGGAGTCTTGCTCTGTCCTCATCATCATATTCATCTACCGTCTTGGGTCTCCACTCAATCTCAACAGGTGGGTTGTTTCCGTTATCTCTCTCAACTGCTATCATCAATTGTGCAGGTCCATTTGTGATAGAGTCAAGAAGACCTGAGGATTGGTCCTTGCTTTCAAGAAAATTTAAGAATCTGTTCTTCCATACGTTGTACTCCCCTCTTCGAAGAATCGGGGGTCTTGTATCGTTTCCAATCGATGGTGCATCCATGTTAAATGATCGGGCTGATCAGTTGATTGATTTGATTCTGTTTTGTTGGTTTCAGTACTTTGGGCAGAAGGTCCTTTGCAAGTAGAATCGCTCAAGTGTTGAAGGATCGCTCAACTTTACAAAGATTGCTCAACTTTAGAAAGGATCGCTCAACTTTACAAAAGATCGCTCAACTTTACAAAGATCGCTCAACTTTATAAAGATCGCTCAACTTTTACAAAAGATCGCTCAACTCTCACAAAGATCGCTCAAGTCTTAACAAACAATCTCTCAACCTTTAAAAAGGATCGCTCAACACTTAAAAACAATCTCTCAACTTTACAAACAATCTCTCCACAATACAGAAAGATCGCTCAACACTAAGTAAAAGATCTCTCAACTCAACTAACAATCTCTCAACTTGTAAAAAGATCGCTCAACTCCAGAAAATCTCTCAAGTCCAAAATGGCGCAACTTAAAGATCGGGCGAGTCCAAAGTGCGCAAATCAACGATCGCGCAGGTGAGCTTGCGCGAAGTGAAGATCGCGCAGAAGACTTTGAGCGAAGTGCAAGATCGCGCAGCAGTCAAATGAGGATGGCGCAAGTCCAAGTATCGCGCAAGATGTATTGCGCGAAACTCGAAATCGCGCAGGAGAATCGCTCAACCTGTTCTTCTTCTTCCAGGCGTGTTGCGCTATACTGCAGAATCGCTCAAATCTGGCTTAACCTGTACGCCGAGTTTCAGATTGAGATTTTCTCCAGGAATGATCCTAGCAACAGTAGAAACCTTTTCCTTCAAGCCATTTCCTGCAAAAACAACAACAAAAATAGAACAGAAGATCGCTCAAGTGCGAAATCTTCGCGGATGAAGAATCGCGCAGGAGTATTTTCCAGCCTTCAATCGATCGATCAGCTCCGGCTCTGATACCAGATGTTAGGTCCCTGTTTTCTAATCTATAAAATGTATGTATGGAAGATAGATCTGGGAATGAAGCTTTCCATTGATGTAATGAAGAAGTTTACAGAATGATGAACAATTTAGCGTAAAACTTCTATCACCGATTAGGCACTGCGGCACTAGAATGTTATGAAAAGCTTAACCTAGCCTTTCCCTTAAGGCATATTTATAGCCTGACGGGAAAGGTAGGTTTTACAATCATTTGGGCTCCTTTATCTAGGAGGCCCATACCTAAAAAGGTATAAAACCTTTATTACAAAATTGCCTTAACAGGCCTATTCATTATTCTAGCTAACTATAAACTAGCAAAGTAACATTGATCACAATTACAATGAAAATATCTCTAACAACGATTGCTTTGAGACATCCTTGAAACTAGGGTATGAATGCAAACATTGCTCGCATATATAACATGTATTATTAGAACTTTGAAGAGCATTTACTATGGTAATCCCTTGAGAAATGAGAATAATGCAAAAAAATGCACATACCTGTTTCTGGAGTCGTACATTTCCGGTTAAGATTATGCACATTTTGCAATAGTTGAAAAGATCTCTTTATTTATAAAAATGTTTTAGATTTCAATCAATACACAAATGAATTTCAGATAATGCACATTTTCAAATCCAACAGTCCATTTTTATTCTCATTCCTCTCCTTGGATCATATTCTCGTGTTGTCCAAATTCTATCTATGTATATATAATACTCCCTTCGTTCCATTTTGGTTGTCCTACTTTCCTTTTTGGGTTGTCCCAAAATGAATGTCTTGTTTCCTTTTTTGGCATGAAATATGTGGTTCTTATTAATTCACTTTATTTTACTCAAATCTCAACCACAACTTTTACTTTTCAACCACTTTATTAATAATCGTGCCAAATTGAAAGTGGACAACCATTATGGGACGGAGGGAGTAGATATGTATGCATCCATATAGAATTTGGATAAAATAAATGAGAAAGCAATTTAAAAAGACAAATGAAAATAAAAATGGTGTGTTATATTTTAGAAATGTGCAGTATATATATGAAACCCAAATGTGTATTTCAATTTATCGAAAATAGGATGGCATTTTTTGTACATAAATTATATGTTTATGTCAATTTGAATTGTGCACAATTTTTTATGTTGATGATGACCAGGTTACCTTTTAACTAAGCTTCCAGAACGAGTAATATGCATGCATGGGCGCAATCGACGTATTAGATACTTCATAATTTTCTCACTATGTGTGTCCTAAGTTGTGTAATGTGGCGCATGTTAATTATAATGTAAGGATAAAGATTTGAAAAAACAGATGATATATATAAGAATTGAACTTATGTAGTATATTCATAAGTGATGGTCGGAAATTGGATGATAATTGTGATGTGACAATATTCTCTAATTGTAATGTAGATTTTCAAGTGTTCAAACTTGAACTAAGAATATGATTGTGTGGATTAAATTATTGTAAGGAATATAATGTGTGTATGTGTCTTATTTGTTTGCGTGTAAATGTGTTTACATTCACCTGACCTCGTAAGTTTCTTAAAACTAGTTCGTATATTGTGGTTTGGAAGAATCGTGTAGCAGAAGGTGGAAGGAAGTGTATACCATACAGCCGGCTGTACGGCTGGGCACCGTACAGCCAGTAGCATTTTTGTAATTTTGATGAAGTTCACGATTTGTCGTAAATGAGTATTGATGTAATTTTATTGAGCATCGAGTCAGTTCTTCTGAGTATTAAGAGCCTAACTATGAGCACCCGTGGTCTTTGCTTCATACCTTCTAATTCAATTTCTTTTTATTAATTTCTGTTTTTAAAAAATTCTTAAATTGTGTTTGTAATTAATTTCAATATGTCAATCTATTGTAGTATGATATGTTTGATATGTGCATCATTTTCAAATGAACATAAACCAGTACCAAATGAGCATACCTAATTTACAAAATGAGTATAAAAAAAATCAAAACTTCATTTGTGTATGCTCATTGATTTTGGGCGTTATATTTAATATATGCATCATTTTAAAATGAGCATAAAGCAATACCAAATGAGCATACATAATTTACAAAATGAGTATCAAAAAATTTAAAAGCTCATTTGTGTATGCTCATTAATTTTGGGTGTTATATTTGATATGTGCATCATTTTAAAATGAGCATAAAGCAGTACCAAATGAACATACATAATTTACAAAATGAGTATCAAAAAATTCAAAATCTCATTTTGTGTATGCTCATTGATTTTGGCGTTATACTCATTTAAGTTTAACATAAAACTCATTTTTAATGTGTTTAATATGTAGTTGTGTATGTTCATTTCTTTGAGACGTATACTCATCTGAGTTTAATATAAAACTCATTTTTAATGTGTCTAATATTCAGTTGTGTATGTTCATTTTTTTAATGTGCATACTCATTTGAGTTTTTTATAAAACTCAGTTAAGATCAATAGTAGTAGGAACTTCCTTTTTCTGCAGTAGGATCCCTTTGTCTTCCAAAATCACAATCTCAATCACCAAAATTGAATAAGAAAAAGAGAAAAAAGAAAAGAGTGAAAAGAAAGACAGAGGAAATCTGTTGTGCCCATTCTAGGAGATCAGCTGTGAGAGGCAACTACCTGGGAGAGAAAGAGACAAGTGGTTCGAAGCAGATGGAAGAACCAGACGACATTTGAGACTGGTGCGAAGCTGGGTGCGAAGTCGAGGAAGAAGGCCGAGCGAGATCGATTGAGGAAGAAGGCTGAGTGAGATCGATCGAAGGCCAGAGCAAGATCGAGGAAGAAGCCCAGAGCCAAAAAGGGCCGGCTGTACCGTGCGCACGGTACAGCCGGCTGTACCATGTAATTTACGAAGGTGGAATGATACTTTAGTACTTGTTGAGGTTTATTCCTTCAACCCTTGGACCCAACACGTAAGCCCAAAGATTTCGAGTGGAGTGAGTGTATGGTTATCTAGCCCAACAACTATTAGATGAATCAGGAAACAAGAGTAATAGCAGGCAATGTAAATAGGTATTATTGACTTCGTAATAACTCCCCTAAGTACAATCTACTTGCTAAAAAAGGCACGTCGGCCGTTCGTCTTACAAGGCAGTTAGAGACGCTGCGAGTAAGAATGCTGAAGCTAATATGCTAAGAGTAGAAAGTTGCCAACCCTTTACAATGAAATAAATGCTTCTATTTATACCCGCCAATGGGCAGGTGGCTGTACTGACGTGGCAGCCTGTGGACCGCTGGTGTCCCAACTACCAAATCTTTAGCATTAAATGCACTTCCCGCCAGAATCTTGGTTTCCCGCCGGATCAGTGGGGACGTTCGTCCACCCGGGAAGTGAGTTGGATTGCTCCAAGTGACCCTTGAGGGATATTGGCTGTTCGTCTCCTGGCCTTGATAGATACTCACCATGTGCACTGGGTTTTCTCCGATGACTACAGGCTTGCTCTGGGGACGTTCGTCGCCATCCCTGGTGGCCCGTGGTTCTGCTCCTTGTCCCTGCATAGACGTTCGTCGGAATGAGCTGCTGGTCCCGAGTCCTCCAACACCAGACGTTCGTCCATCCTCAAGAAACATGGGCCTGTGGGCTGGCCTAGTGTTCTAACCGGACGTTCGTCTGGCAAAATGGGTTAGTGGGCCGGACCTCGGCTCGGGCCCTTAACCCAACACAAGTCCCCCACTTCTGATGTTCTGAGCATGTTCAGGAAACGAGGTGACGGCTGATGTTGCGGCGGTGCATTTTCCCGAGGAAGTGTCATCATTACGTTCCCATCCCACGCACAGCGCGTGGGCCGGAATACGCTCCTTGCCACGTGTCAGCCCCTCGTTGGTTTCCCCAACGGTGTTTTCTCCTATAAATGCCGGGTTTTCCCTCTGAATTAGGGTTCCCAATTCCTGCTTTCTTGCTCTCGATTTTCCGCAGCTCTTCAAGTTTCCTGAATTCGGCCAACCATACCTTTGTAAGGTAATTTCCCCCCTCTGCTTCTTTCCTTTACTCTGATTTCTAGCCGGAATGACTTCGATGGAGATTTCCTCAAGTTCTGATTCCGGTTCGTCGGGTTCCTCCTCGGACTCCTCTTCTGAAAGTGCGAATGCACGCTCCCTGGGAAAAACTAGTGTTTCCGGAACCTCGGGTTCGGCCACGACGGTGGGAACCATCCGGGCTGATGGTGAGCCGGGTGGTGATTCCCAAGGTAGTGGGAGCAGCGCCGGGGACGGGGTGCTGACGGGGCCGTAGATGTTATTGACGCAGTCCCCCTGAATGAGCGTCCTGCTGACTATGATTCCGGAGAGGAAGCCGAATCCGGTTCTGATGTGGAGGTGTATGATCTGGGCATCCCCACTGATATGGAGCGCCACATCTGCCCGATCAGGAGCGCACTTGACCATGACCAAGTCCTCTCCCGCGTGGCCCTCAATAAGATCCGTACTTTCCTTCCTCCGCCGTTCGTCTGGAGTGTGAGAGGTGCTGAGCATGTGATGAGGAGACGTCCGGGGATGATCATGCTTCACCTGGATTCCGTTGAAGCCGGGCTGCGGTTTCCACTTCATGCATTCTATGTGGAGTTCTTCCACTGTTTCCAGGTGGCCCCGGCGCAATTCATGCCAAACTCTTACAGATTCATATCGGCCTTCTTGGTGCGCTGCAAACTTGCGGGGGTCGATGCCACTTTGGAGCTCTTCCATTATTTCTACCGCGTCACTCCCCAGAATGCCGACGGGTATCTGAGCGTGGCCGCACGTCCTGGGAGGCGGCTGTTCAAGAGCTACCCCTCGTCCATCCACGACTGGAAGAACCGCTTCTTCTTCCTTCGATACGACGGGCCTCCTCTCCCTCTCCGGTGGAATGGGTATCCCCCAAAGATTGAGTCACCGGAGCCGACCGACGATCTGCTTTTGGATGCGGAGAAGGTGTTGGAGGGTGGCGTCCGTCCCATAGCCGGATTTCTGACCTTCGAGGCACTCTCTGGGGCAGGCATAGGTACCGCCCGTGTCCCTGGACTTTTTCTACCCTTCGACGCTCGTCTCGGGGCACCGGGCGGTCCTGTCCTTCGAGGTGAGTGTCTTACTCTACCTCCCGCTCGTCTTCTAACCCTTTGTTGTTTCATGCAGGTTCACCACCCGATAGAGACCAAATGAATCACGCCGAGTGTCTGAAGACCAGGAAAGCCAAGGCGGCCGCGGCCAAAGCTGCGATGGCGAAAGCCAAAAACGCCCCCGCCTCGGAGTCCAACTCCTCGGCCTCTGATGCTGCCAGACGAACTGCCGAGGGTGAGCAGCATTTAATCGCCACCATGCTGGCCCAGGGTTCCGGGGCCCCTGCTCTCGAAGCCGCCCTTCCGCCGCC